ACACACTTGTAGATCTAGCACGCATATGTAGAGTGATTGCACCACATGTGAAATATCGCAGCGAACGTCAAAGTAAAAGCAACAATTCTAGGGCCATAATTCATGATTAAATCTAAACTCATAACTTGTAAAGGCTTAAAGTATCACCTATGGAGAATTTTAGGGTGTGTTTTGGGCAATTTTAACCACCTCAATACCAGACACTTTCACCCCTTCCTGCCAAGGCCAATTTTCAGCTTTCAGTGCTGTCACATTTTGAATGACAATTACTCAGGCACGCAACACTGTACCCAATAGAGCTTTCTTTTGGTGGTATTTAATCACCACTGGGTTTTTCAATTTTTGTAAAAAAAAAAAAAATCAACATTTTTAATTTGCAAAACGTTTTAAATTTGTTTCTGCTATATATTTTTGCAAATAAATAATCTTTCTGCATAAATGTAGGCTAAAATGTATACTGCTAAATTTCTTTGGTAAATATAACCCAAATAAGTGTATATTATTTAGTCTGTAGGAAAGTTAGAGTACACAAACTATGGTATATACAGTATATTTGAAAACCGATCAGTGCTGATGTACTTACAGCCTCATTACTTGAGGCTCGAAAATGCAAATACCCCCCAAATGACTCTTTTTTGGAAAGTAGACAGTCCTAGGTATTTAGTAAGAGGCATGGTGAGTTTTATAAGTTGTATTTTTTTGTCATACTTTTTTGGAAAATGAAGAAATTAAAAAAAAATTGTGTTTTTTTTTTCCCCACAATATTTTTTACATACTGTCATACAGCATCATCAGATAATTGGTGTGGTGGTGTTTAGGAATACTGACTGGTGACCGTGTTTTTTTTCCAAATTGTTTAACGTTTTCCTTTTTATATTACATTTTTTTCCCCCCTTTTTTTACAATTTTTTTTTAACATAGTGGGAGAGATTTCCTAAAGCTGGTTCACTCAGAGTCTTGTGCACCTGTGTATGGTAGCCAATCGGCTTCTAACCTTAGCTTGTTCAGTTAAGCTTTAGTAATAAAACCTGTAAGCTGATTGGTTTCTATGCAGAAGTGCACGAGATTCTGAGTGAATCATCTTTAGTAAATAAACCCCACTGTGACCAGAGCAATGCAATGTTACCATAATGACCATATACTACTCTGGGGAGGTGATCATGATTTTTTTTCTATACAAACTAGGGTTGCTTATAAAATAATGATAGTGATAATCACTGTATAAGCAATCATTTTTTATGAATGACGTCCATTCATCCGGTGTGTACTATTATGAAGCTGTGACAGCTATCACATGGTGAAGATGCACTGTGATTGGCCATGTCTGTAGCATGTGATCACTATGACCAATCACAGAGATCAACACAAGCCATTCATTGTGTACAATTCCCATGTGATCTGCTGTGACTGGTCACAGCAGATCACATGGTACCAGCAGCAGCCCAGTATACTGATATGTCATCCTCTGTGTCCAGTGGACACAGCGGGTGACAGATCACACCGAAGCACTGCCTGGTCTTGAGAGGATGTCATATGACATCCACCCAAGATGACAGCCATCATTTTATTATAAGCCAGGCGGGAAGTGGTGAAATCTTGACATGTTTGGTATCTATTTACTCAATGCAACATTATCTTTTATGTTTTACCAAATGAGATATTGTTTTGTATTTGCATGCAATAAAATTAATTTTAGTGTAATTTTTACTTAAAATTTGCGTTTGACAAATAGCTGCACAAATATCGTGTGATATACAAAATTGCAACAGCCATCATTTTATTCTCCTGGACCTTTATATTATATAATACTATATAATGTTTGAGGGTTCTAGGTACTTTTTATCAAAAAAATCCTTAATGTGTGTAAGAGCTTGAAAGACTGCCCTATGAGATCCTGTGGTTAAACAAACACTGATCAAATTAGAAAAAAAGTGTGTTTTTTAGTCATGGTTATATCAAAAGTGTAGCTCAACAGTTCTGTTATTTGTGCAATCATATAAATAAATTAATACTGTGAATAAATAATAAAGTTCCTCAAAACCAACACTGAAAAAAGGCAGTGTGATTTTTTAAATCTGTATATACTGTACCTTGCAATGTCAAACAATGGCAAGATTTCACTTTACATTAGGCAGAAAATACTGTTCTCTGGAGGATACAAGGACTCTTATTATACATACAAACAATCGGTTCTGCGCATTGTTTGACATTGCAAGGTATATACAGATTTTTTTTTAAATCACACAGACTTTTTTTCATTGTTGGTTTTAAGGGACTTTATTATTTATTCACAGAATTAATTTATTTGATTGCACAAATATTGGATTTGTTTCACTATACTTTTGATATAACTATTTTTTGGATGTGGGAACACATGACAGTGGTTTAGCGGCAACAATAAACTATTTATTTTATAAAATATTGGTCTAATTGTATGGTAGCATGGGTTTTTTTGTGTTTATATGCGTTTTTTAGTTATTGTTTAAAGCTATTGCTAAAGCTGAACTTTGGGCAGGAATATTCTTAGATAATATACAGTAAAAAGTTCCTTTCTTAGCTTACACTAGATTCTTTAGCTCTTTTCATACAAGTGTTCTGCCTGTTTTTGCCTTTTCTAAATCTTCCATTAAATCAGTGCTCATTCTAGCTGTGTCACCCTGATTTTCTTGTTTACAAGACTGGTAACCAAGATCTCTGCTATTTCCCTGGCAACTGGTCTTGTGACTTCCCCTCTGTGTGATGAGTGCAATTCTTAGCATGACTTGGAAGAAACACTGTTAGGTATACTTCAATCACCCTTCCACTACTGGCCTTACCTTTGAGTGATGAAGAGTATGGTCTAGGCAAGGCATGTTCAATCCGTGGCCTGCAAGCAATCTGATGTGGCCTGAGGCCTCAAACCTATGGCAGCCCGCACAGCCTTCTTCAGGTGCACACCACTCTACTGAAATATAGCTGGTCCTCCGTACACAAGCCGATATTGAATTATGTAAAAATGGATGTGGAGCTACAAAACACCTCCTCCTGGTAGAAATTGAGATTGGTGTTATGTATGCAAAGACTATGTAAAATAAACCAACAACCATCAGTAACGTCATCATTGATGACAAAATGCGTTGGGCAGAGCCTTCTTGCAACACCTATGTCACTTCCGGTTTGCTTGCTTCCAGTCCGTGGAACGCGGGAGCATCGCTGACACACAATTATGCGCTTCTAGCTTGTACTAACAAGCATCCTTTGCTGTAAGTGTTTTTAATCATTTTATTTCAATAAAATAATGGTGGTAAAACACTATTTGGAGTATCCATTTGGTTTGTTCCATGCACCCTACCAATGTTCTGGTGGAGGAAGCGTGACACCCATATACAGTCTTAAAAGGAGACTCAGAGTAGAAATCCTTGAGTGATATTAGACCCACTTAACTATTACTGGATCATGGAGAATTGGTGACTGTGATATGCAGAGGACAGCACGGAAACTGGCCTGATTATTGCACTTTATTAACCACTTGCCCTCCTGAGGATTTACCCCCCTTCCTGACCAGGCCATTTTTTGCGTTATGGCGCTGTGTTGCTTTAACTGAAAATTGTAACGCTGCACCCAAATGAAATTTACATCCTTTTACTCCCACAAATTGAGCTTTCTTTTGGTGGTATTTGATCACCTCTGCGTTTTTTTATTTTTTGCCATATAAAAAAAAGACTGTCAATTTTGAGAAAAAAACAATATATTTGACTTTTTGCTATTAAACCCCCTGGCGGTATTCCTGAGTGTAGCTCGTGGTTAACTTTCAGTACCAAAAGCAGTAACCCTGAGCTACACTTGGGATTACCCTTCAGCGTTGCTCAGGGATTCCCTCCAGCACTTATCTTGTCCTTTGCTCCCGCGATGTCCCCCCTGCAGCATCCCCGGCCATCTCCTCCAGCCGCTGCCGGCATCTGTCTTCCGGATTCCGTTCCCTCCAAGCGTTGGGACGTATGGGGGATGGAACCGGCGGAAAATTAAAAAATGTAAAATTGTGACATTCACTCAATACACTAAAATTTCATAGTATAACATTACTGTATCAAAGCATTTCACATACATTTTGTCCCTAGTGCTTTGTCCTGCCCTGCCTCCATTTTTGCTGTTCTTTCTGCCTGGAAACTTGAGAACGTTTATGGCATCCAAAAAGCATCCCTTTAGGTCAAAAGCGATTTTAGACCAGCTAGAGAAAAGAGATAGTAAATCAGAACCATTTGCAGAATTGAGTGATAATGATTCGTGGGGAAATTCATCATCAGACACTGAAAACAATTTTGCGACTTTACTCAGTGATGTGCGAACTTGGCGCTCTATTTCAAATTTCAGTGTTTTTGGTTTGATTACATTATTGAATTAAATTTATTATTATTATATTATTATTTTTTTTATGATTATTTTTTATATTATAATTTATGATTTCGTGTTTCAAATTTTATCATACCCGGAATGTTTACTAGACTCTTGTTCAGACAGATTTCAGTTATTCCTAAGAATTACAGACCTACAATAAAAAAACAACATATTTCCATGCAAAAAAATGTACCGCTTTGAGCACAGAAATACCGACATAATCAGACCGCTAGGGAGGTTAAACATGTTCAGTAAAAAAATTTCAAAAATCAAATTTCGTCATAAATTAAGGCCAAAATGTATTCTGCTACATGTCTTTGCTAAAAAAAATCCCAATACGTGTAAATTAATTGGTTTATGTGAAAGTTATAGCGTTTGCAAATGGCGGTACAGATACTGGAATTTTTTTTTATATTAAAAAAATGGTGGTGGTCAGCGAGTTATAGCGGGACCGTGGGACTACCAAAGGACTACCACGAATTCTGACACTGGGGGGAACTGACTTGGTGTCACAGAGATCCCCAGTGACACTAATACAGTGATCAGTGCTAAAAAAAAAAGCACTGACACTAATGGTACTGGGCAGGAAGGGGTTAACATGAGGGGCAATCAAAGGGTTAACTGTGTGCTGTGAGTGTTTTACTGGGGGGCGGTGTGTTGGTGCTTCTCTGTAAGTACACTGCTCTGGATGGCTGTGCTGTGCAAAAAATTGAAACAAATGTTTGAAAATGCTAATTTTCTTTCTGTTCAGGCACTTGCTATTCAAGTCTATGGGAACAATGCTCAAATCTGCCTGAAAAGTAGCACATGTACTTTTCTGAGCGACAGACATTTTGCTACAGGCGACAAAACACTCAAATGTGAATAGGGGACATTGAAGTGAATGGGATTTTACTTGTTGAGCATTTCCGAGCATCAAGCTGAAAAATGCTCAAGTGGGAATGGGATCTAACACAAGCAACCCTTAACTTTCACTACTAAAACCTATCGATGGCCCCCCCCCCATCTCTGGACCTAAACACTAACCTAACTCCTGAACCCTACATGAACCTCTTGCTCTGTATACTCTGTGCCAGAAGTCTCTAACTTACAGTGCTCAGCATAAATGAGTACACACTTTTTGAAAAGTAAATTTTTAATCATCCCTTCTAATCAGAAAATGCTCCTGTAGAGGTGTTAACTTCTGTGGATGGCCAGGATGTCTCTGTGAGATGGTTGCAGTTCCGTCTATCTTAAATTTTTGTATCACTGTGGCTACAATGTTCTGACTAAGTAAAGCTTTGCTGATCATCTTGTAGCCTTCACCTTTCTTGTGTAAAGAAATTATTTTTTTTCTCAGGACTTGTGAAATTTCTCTTCCATTGCTGACAGCATGAAATGGGAAGGGATTTTCTTTGTTAAGTAATGCCCTTTTATAATCAACTATCTGTTGGACACCTGTTTAATTAATAATTAGACTCACCTGTAGATGAATTCTAGTTAATTAGGATTTTGTTGTCTAAAATGTAACTCCTAAGACTTTTATTGGGGTGTATTAATTTTTTGCAACATGTGAATGAATTTGTTAGGAAAAATACTTTATGTGTGCTAATTAATAAATCTTGTTTGCAATCAATGGCCTGCATTTGTGGGAGTATTTTGTATTATAGTGTCCCATGGAAAATGCTGATTCTGAAAGTAAAGTAAAGGTTATCTGACAGCTGTTGGGGTGAACTCATTTATGCTGAGCACCTCAATGAAGGCTGATTTTTCCAGGTCTAGAAATATGAGCAGTCTGGGTTTTAATATGCAGGTTGGTGGGGTTCCAGTTTAGTTTATCAGGAAGACAGACCTTCAAACAGGTAATAGAATAAAACCAATAAGGCTCTCTAAGCTTAGGGAGTCCATTATGCATTTGGACCTTGATCTTGTTACATAGTTACATAGTTAGTCTGGTTGAAAAAAAGACATGTCCATCTAGGTCAACCATTAAAAGGGGGGGGATTATATATATATATATATAACCTAATACTACTTTACCTATAAATATTAGTATCCAATTATATTATGTGCATTTAGGAAAAAATCTAGGCATTTTTAAAAACAATTTACTGAGCTGGACAGAACCAGCTCTTGAGAGAGTTTATTCCACATTTTGACAGCTCTTACTGTGAAGAAACCTTTCCGTGTTTGGAGATTAAATCTCTTTCTTCCAGAAGCTCACTTTTTCACTTTGAGGTCTGTGATGACCTCAAAGTGAAAAACTCTACACCAAGTTCACTATATGAACGGTTTATGTATTTATACATGTTTACCGTATCCCCCCATAATCTCCTCTTAATAAGTTCAGTTCCTCTAATCTTTCCTCATAGCTGAGCTCCTCCATGCCTCTTATCAGTTTGGTTGCCCTTCTCTGCACTTTCTCTAGTTCCCCAATGTTCTTTTTGTGAATTGGAGGTCAAATGGTTAGCAGCTCAGTGGCTAAATGGTTAGCACTTCTGCCTGGCAGTACTAGGGTTGTTGGTTTGAATCCAATCCACGGCATCACCTACCTAGAGATTGCATGTTCTCCCTTTGCCTGCATGGGTTTTCTCCGGATACTCTGGTTTCCTCCCACACTCCAAAGACATGCAGTTAGGTTAATTGGCTCCTGTCTAAATTGGCCCTAGTATGTTAATGTAAGTTAGTTAGGGACCTTAGATTGTACACCCCTGGAAGGTTAGGGACTGATGTGAATTTACAATATATGTAAAGCGCTGAGTAAATTGATAGTGCTATATAAGTACCTGTGATAAATAAAACTGAACTGCATATTCCAGATTATTATTATACAGGACTTATATAGTGGCAACACTTTGTGCAATACTTTACATTATAAAGATGAGGTCTCGCTATTGATTTGAACATGGCTAACATGATATTTCTCTGTTACTGGAGTCTATACCTCTCTTAATACAAGGATTCTGCTCACTTTGGAAACCGCAGCTTGGCATTGGATGCCATTATTAAGCTTGTGATCTACCAGAACTCCCAGATCCTTCTCCACCATTGATTCCCCCAGTTGTACCCCCCCTAGTATGGATGATGCATGCATATTCTTAGCCCCCAAGTGCATACCCTTACATTTATCAACATTAAACCTCATTTGCCACATAGTTGCCCAATTAAACAGTGCATTGAGTTCGGCTTGTAAGTTGGAGACATCTTGTAAGGATGTTATTGCACTCCACAGCTTGGCGTCATCTGCAAAGACTGAAATGGGATTTTTAAGCCCAGACCCTATATTGTTTATAAATATATTAAAAAGTAAGGGTCCCAACACTGAACCTTGGGGTACACCACTGACAAACCTAGACCATTTAGAGTATGAATTATTGACCACTACTCTTTGAAAACGATCTTTTAGCCATCTTTTATCCTAGCCTGTAGACATTACCTTACACATTAGTCATGTGTGTGGTGAAAAATAGTGTTTTTTCTCAAATTTGTTGGTCTTTTTTATATAGTTCAAAAAATGAAAAACACAGAGGTGATCAAATACCAGTGAAAGAAAGCTCAATTTGTGGGGAAAAAAAGGACATAAATTTAATTTGGGTGCAGAGTTGCATGAATGCGCAATTGTCAGTTAAAGTAACGCAGCGCCGTATCACAAAAAATGGCCTGGTCAGGAAGGGGGATAAATGGTTGCCCTCAGGAGGGCAAGTGGTTAAACTCTCCAGTATCTTCCCAACAATAGAAGTTAAACTAACAGATCAATAATTACTTGGTAAAGACTTTGACCCCTTTTTAAATATAGGCACCACATTGGCCTACGCCAGTCATTAAAGAATCTCTAAATATTAGAAACAATGGCTTTGAAATGAGAGAGCTCAATTCTTTTAGGACGCGTGGGTGTATGCCATCTGGTCCAGGTGCTCTATTTACCTTTATTCTGTCTAAATGGGCCATATCAGTTTTGAGTTATTGTGGATCATCTGAGGCTGTGTCAATATTATAATATCCCCATTATGGATATGAGCTCCCCCATTCTCCTTTGTATACACAGAGCTGAAGAAGGTATTTAATAAATTTGCCTTCTCTTTGTCCCCAGTCACCCACTCTAGATTATTTCGTAAAGGGCCTACATGCTCGGACCTGACCTTTTTACTATTATTATATTTTAAATATTTTGGGGGGTTTGTTCTACTTTCTTTTGCAATCTGTCATTCGTTTTGAACTTTTGCGTTCTTGATCTCCTTTTTACATATTCTGTTATATTCTTTGTAACATTTAAACGAAGACAGTGTTCCTTCATTTTTATATTTTTAAAAACTCTATTGTTATTATCTATAGCTTTTGTAACTTTGGATGTGAGCCAAAACAGTCATATAGGTTTTATTTTTAGCCTTTTTATACTGTATTGCCCATGGGAATATATTTTTACAGTATGTTCACATATGGTCTTTTAGAAGAATTCACATTTCTGTTCTGACAATATTCCCTCCCAATCTAAATCTTGGAGAATTTGCTCTCTTAAAGTTAAGTGTTTTTATCTTTCCCGTATGCACTTGTTGTTTACAGCTAACATTAAATGAATTCATGTTATGGTCACTGTTACCCAGATGTTGTTTTATATGAACATTAGTAATAAGCTCTGCATGGTTTGAGATTACCAGGTCCAGAAGAGCATCATTCCTAGTTGAGGCCTCTATGGACTGTACCATAAAATTGTCTTGTAATAGGTCTTGTAATAGGCTTATAAATTTTAACTTGTTTAACTGTTGCAGTGCCAGCTCCCCAGTTAATATCAGGGTAGTTAAAAATCCCCCATTATTACCACTATGTCAGCCCTTGCAGCCCTTTCCATCTGTGCAAGATGCTCAGTCTTCACCTCCACATTAACTTTCGATGGCCTGTTGCAAACTTTAATGATTTACTTTGAACTACGCACATCCACATGCAGTTCCACTCATAATGCTTGTATATGATACAATACACAATCTGGTGTCAATAAAATATGTGGTGTTCCCATTTTAGTTGGGCTTTGAAATGCTTACTATACTAAACTGTGGCAGCACAGTGGTTAAATGGTTAGCACTTCCGCCTGGCAGTACTAGGGTTGTTGGTTAGCATCCCAACCACAGCACCTCCTGCCTGGAGTTTGCATGCTCTCTCTGTGTCTGCGTGGGTTTCCTCCGGTTTCCTCCCACACTCCAAAGACATGCTGGTGGGTTAATTGGCTCCTGTCTAAATTGGCCCTAGAATATGTATGCATGTAAGTTAGGAACCTTAGATTGTGGCCCCTTGAGGGTTAGGGACTGATGTGAATGTACAATATATTGTAAAGCTCTGCGTAAATCGACAGCACTATATAAGTACCTATAATATAAAATAAATTAGCTTGAGCTTGCGGGTTTGGTGGTCCGAACGATTACATGTATAATAGTGGATCATTTAAACTCTACCATTAAAGTACTGGAATAAACTTTTTTATAATGTCATGGAGATTTAATTCAGTAAATGATTATTCATTTCATGCCTATACCATGGCAAATTACTAAGATTCTCTCCCCCAACAGCTTATTTTACATGCATTTTATGGCAAGTTAAAAATAAACACCCATGAAATATGTTAAGTGTAATTGTCTTGCAGACTTTTTTTTAGGCTACAAGGCTGACCTGCAAGAATGAACATGATCACATAATAGCCATTTCATATTCTAGTTTTAATATACAATTTTACCAGACTATCCAGTAGAAGGTCCTCAGGTTT